TTTTCTTGTTTGCCTGCTTGCTTGCTTGTTCTTTTCGTTTTTCTTTGCATACGTATCCCTTCCTTGATCATCGCCACCATGCCATTTAGTGTTATGCATACTCCTGTTGACCAGCGAGTCACTCGTAGCCGTGGCGCTGTGCAAAGCGCTGCTCGCGCTGCTGCCACCAGAAACTTTGAGGCTCGCACCGACCTCACGCGCGACTTCCAGCACGAAGAAGATCATGCCGAACCCCACGCTCTCGATTGCTTGGTCAACGAGCATGAGGAAGAGGAAAGACCGAAAATGGCCGCCACCGGGTCGCACCCGGCCACGCCTTCGACAGGAGCCGCTCCCGTCGAGGCTACCGCGAGCGCTTCTCGCCATGCCGCAAGCGCCGCCGCCACATCAGCCGCCGCCGCGGGCCCTGGATCCCCCCGCAACAATGACGCCGCCGTGGCCCAGGTCCACAGGACCCTGCAAGCCCTAGTGCACTCTCTAGGCTCCCAACATCAGCTCCAATCGCAGATTGCCGAGCTTGAACGCGAGATAAACGCTGCCCTTCGGCTCATCCCGGACAGGGGCCGCTCACATGGTTCGTTACGCGCGCACGAGACCCAGTCGCCTTCTCGTGACCTTGCGACCGATTTTTCTTTGCTCGCTCCCTCGCCCGCGGCGCACCCGACTGCCCGCGATGGCGAAGTGGCGTTTGGCCTGGCCTCCAATCGCCCTCTACCCCGGCTCCCGAGAGAGCCCGTGCACGAATCGCTCTCTCACGACTCTCGTTATCGTCATGGCTACAAGACAGAACAAGACAGAAGGAGGGAAGTGGAACGACCGAGGTCAAGAAGGAAAATGGTACCGATCCAGGGAGATCGCTCCCATTTATAGCAGGTGGAAACACACACACACAGTGGAGACAGAGAATGGACTATCACACTGAAGACAGGTGGAAGCGATATCAGCAATCTGTTGGGACCAACAGATGCCACAACAAGATGATACACCAAGATGGTACAGCAAGATGTTACACAACA